TAAAGCTGGTCTTTTTTTTTTAATAATCTTTTATTTTGTCCCACTTATTTTCTCCCACTCTACCCAGAACCTTCTCAGGTGATCCTTTTCAGAGCAATTGGAAGTGGCAGCCAGGCACCACCTAGCTCTGGTCTCAGGGCCAAAGCAGTTATGTGCACCTCCCAGAGCTGCTGAGCAGCTTTCCAGATTCCACGTGGGAGGAAGAACATGGCCTTTACGGACTACATGATGCCAGGCTGACCGGACTGTCCCTCGAAACTGTGGTCCTGGTGCCCCAGAACGAGTGGCATGTCATGGTCATGTCCCACTGTGCACAGCACGCCACGAGCCGGGAGCCCCTCAACAGCAGCTCACGGCAATGTTCTAACAAGACAGCCTGATGGTGCAGCAGCAAAGCGCTCAGCTACGAACTGAAAGGTTGCCGGTTTGAACCCACCAGGTGCTCTGAAGGAGAACAATGAGGTCCTCAGCCTTTGGAAACCCTGTGGGGCAGTTCGCCTTGGTCCGGTGCGGTCGCTATGGGTTGGTGTTGGGTAGAAGGTAGTGTATTGGGGTTTGTCTGTTTGCTTGTTTTCTTAAAAGCCATGCTGCTCTCTGCACTTCACATACACCCCACAGCTCTCCCTGACACGCCCAATGTCTCTCCTGGAGAAGGAGCCCCAATCTCTGTAACTCACTTTTCTTATCCTGGTGCTGGCAGGGTCCCAAGTGCCTGTCTGTCTAATGAGGACCCCTTTTTCCCCATCAGTGCACAGGAACCTCCACTAGCTCCTCTAGGAGGAGTCAGCAGTCTGTCTCTTCTGTCGGGCTGGTTCTCCCCACTTAATCCCTGCTGAGTTCAACCTGCCTTTCACCATACTGAGGAACCCTGGTGGCATTAGTGGTTATGAGTTGGCTTGCTAACTGCCTGGTCAGCAGTTCGAAACCACCAGCCTATCTGAGAGAGAGAGAGGAAGCTTTCTACTCCCATAAAGAGTTACAGCATTGAAACCCACAGGGGCAGTTCTACCCTGCCCTATAGGGTCACTATAAGTTGACATCCACTAAATTAGCATGAGTTTGGTTGGTAACCTCCCCCTACCCCATATGTAGCTCTGAGAATGAAGAGGGGATGACAAAGTGGCTCAAATCCCTACTCACCACAGACACCCAATGTGATGTAAATGGGGCTGCAGGATGCTAATGTCTGTACCGCAAGACCAGCCTGGGTGGTGGGATGGGGGAATTGTGCTACAGAGCTGAGTGATGGGTAATAGAGCCAGGGAGGAGCTCACAGAGTGGGCTGAACTGATCATGTCAGAGAGGCACGGGGCAGCAGGGGGGAACACAGGGCTGCCTGTTTGGGCATCCGTGATGCCAATCTATGGATCATGTGGAACAGACCTCTGAGATGTATATGGTAAAAGCTTACACCGGTACATCATCATGACTTAGAGGTTAGGGCAGGTTGAATGACCACCTTTCAGCGAACAGCAGGTTAAAGGGCAGTCTGATAGAGGACGTTGTACAAGGGGCTTCAGACAGTCCGTGGAGAAACGTCATCATCTTTTCATTTCCTTTGCTGGTCTACATCCCAGATTTCCACACACGTCACAGACTAGCTCCTGTACATGGTTAACTCCTGGCCTGACTGGATAGACACCTACCATAAGCAAGCGTTGAGCTACAAGACTAAGATGAAATCAGGGCATTTCGTATAAAACCTTCCATTTCTAACTCTTGGGCCTGGCAGCTCTGCGTCCAGGTGCCCCTGCAGGGGCGGAGTAGCACCTGCCTACGCCCCAATAGCCCTGAGCCCCCACAATCCTTTCCAAGACTGGCTCCCCCTGGCACTGGCGTCTGCCAGGTCAAGGCATCCGCTTCCTGATAACCCCCAGGCTCATTCTCTCAGGCCTGCCACCTGCCTGACAAAGAGTGCCTGCTACCCAAGGGGTGCGGGTGGGGCGGCACGCTGAGATAACCACCTCCTGCCCGTCTGGCACTTTCTCTCACTCACAAATGAATCAGAGCAGGAAAGAACTGTCCTCACATCCCAAAAGCACACGGTGCTCGGTGGGAAAAAACCAAGTCCCCTGCCTCTTTTCAGAAAGACCCTAAGTGTTGCAGGGGTTAAGCGCTGGGCTATCAACCCAAAGGTGGGCAGTTCAAGGCTGCCAGCCACTCCTGTGGGACAAAAGCCTTGCCAACCACCCGCTATCCAGGGGACAGCCTTGGTTACCCCAAGGGGCAGTCTTGCTCTGTCCTATGAGCCAGAGTGACTTCACAGCAGGGTTCTCTCAGGGCCACTCCTGTTGGGCATACCTTGGGGGGGGGGGGAGACACACCTTGTCTAGCATGGTGCACACCATCTTAGTACACACTCACAGGTCCCTTAGCAGCTGGCTCCCGTCCTCTCTCCCCTGCCAACCCCAAATTCCTCTGCACCAAATCCTTGCCGTCACTCACCTGCACGTGCACACACAAAAATAAAAGCACACGTTTGTATCTTTAAGGAAGTCTTACATCTCTTCCATTTAAAATGGGAAAAAAAAATACTATCTTGATTTGAAATTGACCGAGGCTGGGACCAGAATCCAAGCACGGCGACTTGGTTAGAAAGCAGCAGTGATGGGTATCCACGTCTCTGTCTCTGTCAGAGATCATAGAGCCATCGCTTCAACTCTCGGTACGTCCAGGCCACCCTGGGCTTCTCGATGGTCATGAAATGCTCTCTGCATGGGTCTACCGCATGACCTTTGCCCCGCCGGTCCCTGCCCTGGAATCCTCCCCACACTCTTACCCATACCGCCATCCACAGGTGACCAGAGAGGCCTTTGAGAGCCACCCTGGCCAAGGTCACGCTTCACTTTTCCCGCCCCCACCTGTATCTTGCTTATCAGGAGTGTCCAGGCCCAGGAAGAGGACATGCTGGTTGGTAAAGGAGCAGCAAAAAAATAAAGGGCCTTCCATGAGATGGACTGGCAGTGGCTGCGAGGAGGGTCTCAAGCAAGCGCAGGGACGACTGTGAGGCTGGCGCGGGACCGGGGCAATGTTTTGTGCTGTGATACACAGGGTCGCCCGTGATGAGCTGAAAATGGCTCCATGGTGCCTGACAGACAGGCCTTCACCCTGAACAACACACTGACCAGGGCGCCTGGCATGCCTGTCCATCCCTCAACTGCATCTCGTGGACCGCACCATACTTCTCACACGCTGGAATGATCTTCCTTATCCATCCGTTCATGGCTGGTTCCCTGTCCCATCTCAGCACCCGAGGACCGGAGGGTCTGAGCCGCTTCACGCACTGTTGCATGCCCAGCCCCCAGCACAGCGCCTGGCTCACAGGAGGCGCAGAGCAGCCGTTTGCCAAAGGGAAACACTCAAAACTCACTGCCATCAAGGCGATCCCCGCTCAGAGC